TTTCCTTGCCCTGAGTTCTTTTTTCAATTTCTTTTTGACAATTTTGTTTTCAGCTAATTTGTTCTTTACAACTTCAATGCCATGTTGATCGTCATGTCCATGGCGGTCGTGACCATGGCGATCGTGACCAGCTATTCCTATCACACCAGGCCCTATGGGATCTAGAGGGTCAATCCTGGGGCCAAGTGGACCAAGCCCGACAGGGTCTATTCCGGGGCCAAGGCTACTAAGTCCAGATCTCAGCAGACCACCATCTGAAATGATATTAGGTATACCAGGTACTCGTTGGCGCCCTAAAGGAGCCGTTTCCAAAAGAGAAGGACCAGTAAGCCCCCTTCCTTGCAGTGTGGGGTCAATAAACCCCGTCCCTTGCAGTGTTGGGTCGATCAGCCCTCTTCCTCCAAGGTTTGGATTGACTAGAAGGGGGTCCATTAAACCCCTATTGACAAGGCCACGTGTTAGACTTCCTGGAATCTGAACATTATTGGGAAGACTTGCCAAAGAGTTCGCCGCGGCAGGATCTCTGCCGATACCAAGGCGATCACCATTGTTGATAGGAATTAAGTCCTCTATCGATAATCCAGGGACCGTTAATTGTTCAGGTGTGAAACCGAAATCAAATCTGTTTCCAAATCCATCGGCACCTGATACGGTCTGACGTGCACGTGTAGCGGTGGCTAACTCTCGCTGGACATCGGGTGGGGGTGTCCATCCTCTGTTAATTAGACTTTCCAGAAGCCTTTCCTGGTTCGCGGCCGAACCAACTAATTGACCCCAGTTCGGGGCGATAGATGACTGGAACCCTTGGCCATTAATACCTAAAATAAAATAATCTTTATTATAAGTATGTTACAATATGTTCTCTTAATCTTAATCATAACTTAAATAGATTTACCATACATTTTATGTCACGTGATTATAAAGATCTTATTTTTGAACTGCGTTTTAACTATAGACTTTCTAAATATCGTGAGACGTACAGAGTTTCGCCCTTACATATCTAAGGCATCAAAAAGTGGACTTTAGCTGATACAGAACTCGAATATACATACAAGAGTAGGTCAAGGCCGCTACAGTACAATAGGGCATACAAGAGTAGGTCAAGGCCGCTACAGTACTATAGGGCATACAAGAGTAGGTCAAGGCCGCTACAGTACTATAGGGCATACAAGAGTAGGTCAAGGCCGCTACAGTACTATAGGGCATACAAGAGTAGGTCAAGGCCGCTACAGTACCACAGAGCATACAAGAGTAGGTCAAGGCTGAAAAAGAACTATACAGCTACTAGAGCACATTACGACAAAGCGTTCATTTGAAAGTTCACATCTTTACAAGTGTTCCTTTGATGTGTTTAGTACTTACACGTATATGGCAGGAGTAAAAACAGAATAACACGTATCATCATCCCGCCGTTTGATCAATGTACAAAAATCTGAAAAAGAAAAGGAATTGATAACAAAGATATATAATAAACAAGGGCAAACTTTTGTATGCTCCTGATATAAACCTCTCCGCGGAATATTATATATGTCAGCAAAGCTTTGTCATTTATAATGACTGTAGCTGCCATATCAAGACTGCTCAATGCATGTTAAATATCGTGCCAAAATATATCTGCACCTCCAGGATATGACTGTAGTATGTTAGCAGAGACGTCATCGCTTCCCTAAAGTTTAGCTAGAGGCCAAGAAGGATATAAGTTAGACAAAATTTCCAACTAACAACCCACATCTGAATCGTTTCAATGTTAGGCCCAGGTTTGTGAAATATTTGAAATATATGTTTATTGTACAATCCTTGTTATGGGCTTGAGAGGTATATGATGTCATGCTTTATGTATTGTGTTAGGTAGAGTACATCTTCTATATCTGGTGATATTGAAAGTTAGGTGTATGAAAACACAAACTAAGCTTTGGTCTTGAAACGCTTATAGATATAAGGTAAATTTGACGTTACGAACAAAGATGTCTTAGAAAAAACCCTAAACCCTAACCCTATTCCGCAAAGTTAAATGACTGTAGAATCGCTATTGCATGACCCATATTTTCCGTTTGCAACATCTTTGTACATTGTTAATAAAGTTTTATTATCCTTAATTTGTGATACATTTATCGCGGTTTTTTTATTTGGATCAATGCATATGTCTTATAAACACATACAATATCTATATTTAACTCAGATGAATATGTAAACACAAATATTTGATTGACATGTTGTGTACATGCCTCTGGACTTATGATTGATTGTTATAGAAGGTCATTGTATGCAGACAGAACTCCCTATGATGGTTTCTACATACATACATGTAGGTAGTATATCTGACTTCGTACTTAATCATCACTTGTCACTCTACTATTCTTGAAGGACAAATCTAAATTCTTGTTTTTAACATGTGAAAGCCATTTTGGTGTCTGAAGTAGTTTTAAAGGATTTTAATAAATTTGAATTTATCACAGGTTTCATTTTGTTTTTCATTATATAAATTACGTTATAAAAACTTCCAAATCCTTATCATTATAATGCCATTATATAAATCAAGGAAATAAGTTACCCACAAATATTTACAGATTACATGTAATGTTATACACGTACTTTCTTTGTCTCTAGCGGGGAAATAATTGATATTATTGTTCTAAAATAGATCGAAATCATTTTTTTTAATCAAAACTGTTCATTATATGAAAACATCATTTTCTTCTCATAAAGATTAACGCGAGAAAAGATTTTTTATAGCCTTAGGCTGTGAAAATTATGTCTGTTAATCCTGTTTTAAAGCTATAGGCTGTGAAAATTATGTCTGTTAATCATGTTTTAAAGCTTTAGGCTGTGAAAATTATGTTTGTTAATCATGTTTTAAAGCTTTAGGCTGTGAAAATTATGTCTGTTAATCATGTTTTAAAGCTTTAGGCTGTGAAAATTATGTCTGTTAATCATGTTTTAAAGCTTTAGGCTGTGAAAATTATGTCTGTTAATCATGTTTTCTTTGGTTTGAAGCGATACATACGCAAACTTTCGACATGGAAATTCTAGAATGTTCCCAACGTTATTAATTTCACAGTGTTGCATTTTCACTAACATTTAGATGATAAAATGATAATGATTTCTGTAATAATATTACAGCTCCGAAGATCACATATGTTACAAAACCAACGTCACACTGAAGGTACGAATGGTATGCATGTTTGTTTATGTAAATAAAAGGCTATTGTTTTTAGGTAAATAAACATCAACTTACTTGTGAAATCCCTCTCTCAGGCGACTTTGGTCACTGAACTGTCACAACCACAGAGTATAAATGTGTGACCACACTGTTTGGCCTGAAACTATTTTATATCATCATCCAGTTATTTCCTGGTATTATGTGATCGTGTCAGCCAATTATCTCCCGTTATAACTTCGTGACGTCAGGCTGGTCACTTTTTATCGATGTTGTACGCGCGTGGTACTTTTGTAAGTGCCAATAAATACATCAAATATATATATGTATACGTCTAGCGGTCAGCGATGCATGTCCATTTCATATTGTTCTCGTAAAATATAAGGAAATAACCGTAGCTTGACTTGGTCATTGTGTTAGATCTTTGGGCTAAATAGATCACTCAAAACAACTATCATATTTTAATGTTCCGTATTGTATCAAATGTCACCTCCTTAAGTCAACTTTGAAGATAATTTCCTTTTTTTCCCCTTTTTTATATCTTTTAAGATAAATAACATGTTGCATATTTTTTGCAATAAGTTAATGAAAAAAGAAACCTACATACATATTGATTCTTTTGTTTCTGGCCTTCTGTTCGTCGTTATATCATTGAGTTATTGTCACTAAATTTACTTCGGTAATAAATGATGCCTGGATTTTTATGCATTCACAGTACAATTGGTAGATTTTGTTGGGGATTTCGCTAACTTCGAAGTTACTAAAATACGATATAGTATATTACAAGCTACCTATTTATGCCCATACTTATAAAGTTTTATAAATAAGGAGAGAGTGTTAATATTGTATAATCTTTGCTCAATTCTATTGTCACGAAAGTCCTGTAGATAAGGCGTACCAATCGTACCAGCTTTCTTACAGAAGACACTAAACTTTGTCGAGAAATAAAGAATGACGACGGTTGAAAAAATATTAGGAGGACAAGATAATCCAGTAGACCAAAACATGGATGATGAATTCCAATGATAATGTAAAGTTCAGTATCCATGTTAGGAAACGTGTGACTGATTAAAGAAAACAAGATACTAAGTTCAGTCTTCAATACCTTCACAAACATGTACAAATCTTTATTTCCTAAATCTGTATACATTGTTCTCATTTGACAATATGCATTACTTACTTGGATTGATCATGGTTTACATGGCGAGTGTCGTCGGTGAAGCAGAAGACGCTTGCTTTTCCGGAACACCTGGTCTTATTCTCCTTGTACGTTTCAGGAGCCACCGTATGAATACTTCTTTTTCTCATATTTTGACCTGGTTTTATAGAAGTCGGGTTCAGATTATCATTATGTTCACATGTTGGCATTTCTTTCATATTACAACACGTTAGAAAATTAATTGAGAGATGTCTAAAATCATGACTATACCAATGTACCTAGAGTACATTGTAAACCGAAATTATATATCTACAAGTGTGGCATTATAGTTTTGATTAAATTGATTCTTTTACATTATCAGAGAAAGTTTCACTTCATATCTATATAAGCTTATCCTAGTTTTTACTACTTTCGAAGAAATCTTGATTGTTTATAAATAAGCTTGTTTCAATATTACCACAAAACCAATTCTGACATAAATTGACCAAATGTTGATAATGTTATTGTAGTATTGTTTTCGAATCAATATACTGTGTCGATAAAGTGAGAAAACCACGGCACCAAGTTTAAGAGTAAAACGTGTACTTGTACATGTGTAACCGAACGCACCTACAATAGCTTGGTCATTTGTGCGTTTGATTATAACGGTTACCGGAATGAGGCATTTTAAACATTGTGATGACATTGATCTAAAAGAAAGTACTCCTGTAGACGGACCGGTAAGAAATATTCCTTTGTCAATTTATTCAGAATCGAAAAAAATCTGATCAATCCATGGAACTGTATAGAACAAGTGTTCAATAATTAAGTGTCTTCAAATTTCAATGTTTATATGTATAATTTTTGCGTTGAAGTTGAAGTGTCTAAAGTTCTGAATGGTCACTTATTCAGGCCTGTGCTGTGTGGTTTCTGGAATTTCTGTTTAAATTTGGAAGCATGGAGTGCCACTGATATTGTGTCAAAGTGGAGAGTATGAATGTGGGTCTTGACCAATGGGAATTTTCCTTCAGTAAAGTGGGAAATTATTCCCCTTAAGAGCAAGAGGTTGCTAATTTAAGCCAGTTTTTCGTTACCTCTTTCTAACATATAGGAAGGAGTAATTGGTCACCACAGTGTAGTTACTATTGGAGAATCAGATGCTTACTTGACATTAAAGAACCTGAGTTGTGGTTGTGTTTGGGAAAATACTCATGAAAGAGGGAGTGGCGCAGAAAAGAGTGCAGGTCACCTTACTAGTCTCAATTGGTAAAAATTTCCTTTTAGTCAAGCAGTAATGTACACTAGTTATAACCCCAATCAGAGGCATAACATTTGTAATCACTAATTTCTTTTATCTGTAGGATTAGTTGACACAGAGATGCATACATTTGCTTACTATAAATTAACTAGCTTAGGTCTTTTACAATACAAATAAAAAATGCTGTTTTTATGTAAGCTTCTGGTTGTGTTTATAGTGTAATTCTTATTAATAATATAATTATATAAAATATTTATTCTTTTAATTTAGAACTATATTACCACATAAATGTTTTTTCTTTCTCCTCCACCCAGACACCTGTCACTATAATTAGATAGTGCAGAACCAGTGAACACAAATGGGAAGATATTCTGACAGCGATGATGATAGAAAGAGGAGGAAAAAGAAAAAGAAGAAGAGGTCAAGATCAAGGTACTGTGTAATGTAAACGTATTTTGACACAATTTTTTTTTATTCTTTAGTGAATATAAGATAGTGAAAGTGGACAAGTAGACAAATATAACACTGAGCTATATCTGCTTAACTTTTTTTTCGTCATTGATCTGGTAGATGAAAATATAGCAAATGTAGGAGTTAAAAATATAATGTACAAAACCTACAATAAACCTCTAGTGTCATGCAGGAAGAAGAATCTTTAAACTTCTCTTAGAGATTGAAGTATTTCAAGATTTTTACTTAAACTGATGTCTTTTGTGGATATTTATAGACACTTTGCACTGTTGATGGCTGGATACTAAGCAAAATGCAAATAACGACAAAATTTAGTTGTGTATGAATAACTTTACTTTCCTACAGACAATATATTGAGTACAGATGAGTGTTTTGTATTAAACATTTAACTTACAAGTACAGATTCGTGAATGGGGGAAAGGTCTAAAACTGGTTATAACAGATTTACCTGATGTAATGGTTATACTTTTATTTTAATGTCTTATTGAAAATTAAAGTAATCAATTACCAAACCTGATCATATTTTTCTAGCAATCAACTGTGAATTTAGCCCCCCACCCCCCCACCTCCCACTCTCTCTTTTTAAGTAATGTTATGTTTTCTTTTACACCTTTTCTGGCCACCATTTATATATCCAAATGGCCTTTAAATGTGTTGATTGGCTGTTTAGATTATTATAAGAATGATAACAATCATGATTTTTTTTCTGCCAGTTTACTAAACACTTCCTATTTTTAAGGTCCCTTAGCAGTAACAGCAGTAGCTACAGCTATAGACATAAGAAAAGCAAATCTTCTAAATCAAGGAGAAGATCAAGGTCTGTTTCAAAAGGTAGAGACAGAAGGTCAAGGTCATGGAGTAGAGGTCGTCGCCGTAGGTCGAGAAGCATAGACCGTTATTCCAGATCAAGAAGTAGAGAAAGGTATTCAAGAAGAAGATCTAGATCTGATAGCAGAGGTCACAGTTACAGACGTTCAAGGTCAAGAGAGCGGTATCAAAGATCAAGGTCAAGGACACCAGACAAATATAAATCAAAGTCAAAAAGGTAAGTAATTAGGAACAAGTGAACAGGTGTAAGACAATCAGTGTTTATTTCATGTGTCTAACTATTAGTGAATTCAAATGAATGAAAATATAAGACAATGGACAGAATAACAATACAAAACAAAAGATGAACAGGTGTAATAAGTATGTAAACCTTGCACACCTCTTGGTCAGATTTTACCTCAACTGCATCGCACAGTTGTTATTGCAATATTTATACTGACCCTGTTTGTTTACTGCTTGAGATTTAATTATTACCACAATCAGTTATATTTTAAAGTATTGTAATATTTACATTTCATTGGTGTTATTGTTTGGTTTCTATGTTAATCAGAAGGTCAAGGTCCATTGACAGAGTTAAAAGTTCAAGCAGATACAACTCCTCAAGTCCATCATCCTCATCAAAGCTAAAGGATGGCAAAGAGTAAGTCAGCTATCACTGAAAAACATGTTTACAAAAACTTAAATACCGGTGATAATTTTTAGTATGTTTGCTAAACCATCTTTGCTAATTCTAAATGATGATGGAAAAAGAAAGAAAAAAAATTGTATTAAGTTTGTAGATAATGGCTGTACCAACTAGTGATTGTCCCTGGTATTTTGGTATTTTTTTCTCCATTTTAACGAAGATTTAAATTATACATGTATAATGAGTAAGGGATATAGATTTGTTTTTTTTTATTAATACAGCATTTTTTTCTTATTATAAATCTTTTTCTCTGAGTAATTCTGAATTTATTTTGACATGAAAGCAAAGTGTAAGTTAGCGCACCTAATTACACATGCATTAAAATAATCAGAATATATCACATTACAAATTATGGCAATTAGGACGCTGAAAAGTAATATTCATTTAAAGACTGAAATGTATTTTTATGATCACACTCTGATGGTATAAAATACAGTTCTTTTAAAACATTCCTTTTGGCACCTTTAACACATCAGGAGAATATGTTCTAAAAAAAATGAGCTGTATATATTATAATGAATGTTAAAATGTTTGCTTTGAACTTGAGAGTAGAGGACAGAAAGTACTGAAATCAGAGTGTCCATCAATTTAAAGATGATCATACTTTGTCTGAAAGAAGTTTTTGTAAATCTATAAGTTTACTAAAGCTAATGGTGGACTGTGATTTACTGTGTTTGATTTCAATGTGAGTTTTTTGTAAAGAGTTAAGTTTGCCCATGTCTTACTATTCAGCTTGGATTAACTGGTTTTAAGATTGCTTTTAGAATTGTGTTTTAGGAGTACATGTACTCAAGTTTGTGTGTCTATACTGAAGAAAAATCTACTTTTTACAGTGATCCAGCTGAAATGATTCCTGGTTTTCATGATATGGTAAGAATTGACGATGTTTATCACTGATCATATGACACGGCAATATCATATGTCCCTATGCCTTGTAATAAGCCCATCCAGGTATATCTTAAGTCAGACACATTTTCTATGCTACTTTGAAGTTATGGAAATCTTGTACAGTACGCTAATGCTATATGCAAACTGCTGAATGCTAATGCCTTATGCTTTATGTGAAACATTTTAATCAGGACATTGGCGAGAATTGAACTGGAAAGGATACACAAAGTGTCCTTGGTTGCTGGTTAGCCTGGAGCAGCTGTAGATCATTCAGCATTTCAAATTACTAGGGCATATTTTATGAAAAGTACCTGGTACATTAAGCATTTCAAACAAAGCATAAGTACTTTAGGCATTTTTAATTATTCTGACGGTCTATCTACTTGTCTATAAAGATCTAGAGTTGATGAGTCGACTCTAGACTGATATTAACAAGTCAATAAAACGTTAGAATAATATGGACTACATCATTGTTTAATTGTTGGAATAATTGGGACTACATCAATGTTTAAATGTTTGAATAATCGGGACTACATCATTGTTTAAATGTTGGAATAATTGGGACTACATCATTGTATAATTGTTGGAATAATCGGGACTACATCATTGTTTAAATATTGGAATAATCGGGACTACATCATTGTTTAAATGTTGGAATAATCGGGACTACGTCTATCTTTAATTATGGGGTCCTTACTTTTGTAGACACCTGCTGAGCAGAGTAAACTGAGGCTCCAGTTGGCCCTGAAGGCTGCTGGTGAGTTTGAAAAAATATTGATAAATGATTGATAATTTTTCTGAAGTGTCACACAGTTTTTACGCCCTTTCAATGGCTTACCTCAAACATATATTTTATTTTGTTGTAATCAAAAAGCCCAAGAACAAATTTGACACGGCTCAACACACATTTCAGTCACTAGGTCAACATAACTGTTAAAATAGAAATTGTTTTACAAATACAGCATTAGTAATGTGTGACAATTTATTGATCTGTTCCATTACTTTCCTTCATACAGCTGCAGCAGATGAGAGGATCAAAGACCAAATTAAAGAGAGTCAGTTTGGTGGAGCAACATCAATAGAGGATCAGATGAAATTCTCCAGTGCTGTCAAGGACATCGAGAGCTCCACTTTCGTGCCATCCAGTTTCAAATCAAACAGATCAGTAGGTTTTCAATTTAGCTTGTGAAGTTTACTTTGGCAATTTGCATTTTACTTGACATATTAAGTGATATATATATATATAGTCTCTGAATGTCTCATATCTAATGATTTTAAACATCTTCTCTAGTCAGAATAAATGTGAAACAAAGTAAGATATTCAGGATAAGTAACAATTATATCCTCTCTAAAAAGTCAGCCTTAATAAAAAATCATAACAACACTGTGGGGAAAAAAATCAATCCCAAAAGTTGTTTCTGTCACAGAATCAGAATGAAACTTGTGAAAATCATATTGTTGGTAATAATCTTGTATTCTACATATCTTATAGGACCGTTCCAATGTAGACGATAAAAAGGAAGATTTCCTGTTTGGTACTGCTGGTGAAATCCGAGCTGACATGACGCCACGGAAACCTCTTATCATACATGACCTGAACACTCTCTCTCACCCAAATGTATGTTGTATCAAAGTCATTCACAATCCAAAGTATAGAAGTTTTCCTTCAGGTTTATATTTTCATTATGATACTAATTTTGCAAAATTTAGGTTTTTTAATGATGGTTTTGGGAGTATTAAAATAACTCATTTTTACTATCCATTTTATTTTCATTTCAAGACATCCATGCAAAATTAGAAATGATGAAAAATAAAAACCTCTACATTATTTTTGAGATACCAGTGCTAGTCAATCTGATAAACAGAATTTGTTGCCAGAGCAGCTGTTTAAAATTTTGATATTATAACTGAAGTGATGTTTTGGTTCATCATTATTATTTGTTTATGCCACATTCTTTCTGGGATGGATTGGACATTGGAGATAGTCACATGGACATTTTGAATGTTGGTGTTGGATGTTTATTCTTGTTGTTTCTCAGCAAGAATTTCTGGCAATGCATATTTCATCTTCCTCTCTTTCAAAATGATTTACACGTAGTCATATAAAAAGACTTTAAGTCAAATTTAATGAAATAAGTTCTCTGGCTGTATATCTTGGGCATTGTATATTAAAGGCGTGTACAAAATTTTATGTTCAGTGGTTAAAATCAACTAAATTTCATATTTTTCATGCAATGGTTTTTGTTTGAATTTTATTAGTACATTTTGTATAAAGATTGCTATTAGTACATTTAGTTTAAAAATTGCTTTGGTAAATGTGCTAACACTGTTTGGGGGGAAAAAAATGAAAATTTTATACATTGATTAAGACGTCAATGCCAACATGAAACCAACACCTTACTCTTGTTTCTGCTTCTATCTTTGTTGCTGTGGGTACAAGAACAAAAGCCGTCTTTCATACATCCCGTTTGTTCATGCCGTATTTTGATTTTTATCCCATATTCATTATTCAGGATGAAAGTCAAGAGTTCTTTTTAATTTTAAAGTTTGAATTTGTTATTACAGTGATTGTCAAAAACACAATAAAGGATATTAGCAACATAATGTGAAATGTTTGATGTGAAGCATATATTTTGAATAAGATATTTTGAGTTTGATAAAATGCTTAAAATGGTAGACAACAGACAGAAATTTTCATTTTCGTTGTTTGAAGTTTGCATGGTGATTTATATTTCAGAGAAACCTTGATAAAATAAGCTGTAAATGTATGGACAAGATGTCATTTTCAGACATCAAGTTCATTAAGGTCTCATCAAAATATTTCTGTGATAAACATTCTGTTATCAAATTTAAAGCAAACAACTGTGTGTTATAACCTAAATTTTGTCTGGGAGATAGAATTTAGAATTTCTATTTTCTATTCAAGTAAAGCACTGATTTTAGTCAATGTTTAAACCATACTGACAAATCCTATTACAAAATGTTTCACACAGCAGAACAATGATTTCAGTATTATTTTTCAGATAATCAGTCAGAATTACCCGTGATCTCTAAGACAGACATTTAATGCCTTATGATTTATAATTCCAGTTACATGTTGATCCAGATGAGAAGATGAAGCGCTGGATTGAACGTCTAGCAATGCTTCGGAAGAAAAAGCTTGAGGGAGAAGTCATAGATTAAAAAGGAAAGTTTAGTGATACTAAATCTGTACTGAACATTTCAAATTGTGATATTGAAAAAAAAAAGGAAAAATGTACATCTTTCAGAAAGCTTCAAATATTGCCATCAATGGACATAAATATTATTTTAGTTCACACCTGTGCAACCTGGCTCCATACCGAGACTGACAGACACACATAAAATTCCAAATTCCAATTCCAAACTGTACGTGATCAGTGACCCAATCCAGGTATACTCATTATTAAATAAAGAAGTGCATGTATAAGATGTGAAATTAAGGAAAGATAATGTTTATACTGCAATGTATGTATTTGTAGGTATAAACATTAATTTATTTTACAACAATTATGTGCAATTTATACTAATCACTCTTGTTAGCATGATGTAAGCATGTGAGGGATCTTACTGTATGATGAAACTGCAGTACCCAGGGAAAAAATTCCCACCTACTTTGTCAGGCTGATGACTCCCTACCATGCCCATTCAGGGAATCTTACTCTAGGTGGAAGCTTAGTGTGTTACCACTTACCATCAAACCACCCTACATGTAGGAGTAGGTATGAAGTATAGTTTTATCCGAGAGAGTTAAATCCACTACTGGATAAGATTTCTCTCCTTCCCTGGTTTTGGTAAAAGGTTCTGTACCAAATTGTGAATTTACATTTAATAAATGTTTAATGAGAATAGATGGACTTTTTTTTGTACACATACCAATGTGAGAATAATACCTAAGTTAATTCTCACATATTTGTTTTATTGTAATTTGGACCAACTCACAGTTGATAAATCATTTCATCAAAAGTTTATGGTTTGTATTCAACAACTGAAAAAACGATATGAAAATGGCTTTGTATTCTGTTGTGTCAATGCTAGAAATTACTGAGGCAACACTTGCAGTGTTCTTGAGCATGTCTAACGAAATATAGGGATTTTACAATAAAACAAACTGCATTGATAATTCTAAATATGGTTTCTTTATTTTTTCAAGTCTTGTGTAGAAAACATTTTAATCCATACAGTGTCAATTTAAGAATAACATCAAAAGTAAATATTATAAACGTCTGTGATGCAGTGTAGAGTTGTATACATGTACATGTATAATTAAACAAAGTTAATAAAAAAAAAACATCCTGTACCAGTCCACAATGTCAGTAAGCGACAGTGCCAACAGCAAAAGCCACATGCAATTATTCTGATACTATAGGCAAAATCTTATGTAAATGGGGGAAAAGCAGACAAGAAAAAAATTAATATTGCACATTCAAAGATAAAGAAAAGTTCTCAAGTTCTTGGTCAGCTTCCTCAGAGTTGATGAGATGAGATGATTGGATTGTCTGTGTAGACTGTGGAGTGTAAGAACTACAATCTAACACAGAATGTTCTGACTGTGTGTCCCTACAAACTCTACAGGTATAACCTTTTGAAGTTATGTCTTCTTCCAATGAAGAAATACCTGGATTGCTACACTTTTTGAAACGTTTTCCTTTATGTCTCGAGCATTCCTGTTCCTGGTCCAATTCACTTTCTCTTTTGTCAAATCTTTCCTTTTCTTCAGGTTGTGAAGACAACATAATATCTTTGGTATTTATGGATGGGCTGGAATTCTCATCCTTGTAAACTCTGTGGAAATTTTCTGGACTTTCATATTCATTTTCATCACCACGAACTATATAATCTTCATCAATCACCTCTTGAATTGGTGAATTTATAGAGTTTTCTCCCTTATTTGGAGGATTTGATCTAAGCTTTGAATAAGAATCTTCATCAAAGATACACATGTTTTCTTTTACATCTTCATTATACGAATCATCAGAACAGATTCCTTCACTCGATATTTTGTTTTCAAAAAGAGATCGCACCGCAACATTTTCTTTCTCAGGGTGATCTAAAACAAAATAATAATTTTTTTATTGAAATTGATACAAGTTTTCCAAAAAATAATGTATTATGCCGGAATTAAAGATCTGAATGAAAGACATTGCCATTATCACAACCCCAGAGTGAAACTGCCAAAATATTCAAAACACAAGATATTTGATGTATGTATGAAGCATCTAAAGAATTAATTGTTTTAACCTGCTTAGTTACAAAGCCCTGGATGATACAGAGTATAGCTTGTAATAAATTCTTGAACTTCTCTCTAGTGTCAAGTGACAAGAACTGTTACTGCCATAATATACATGGATACATTCAACACCCCTTTGATATATATAATCACTACAGATAGCTAACACATTTTTTACTCATTATACACAGGTAACATTGAGGAGTATCTGACACTATATTGGCCTTCTCTTTAGTAGTAAAACTAAACAATATATAATTAAATTAAGTGATAATATAATCATTACTTTTAAGTATTGGTGACTTGAAGAATGACTTAATATCACTCTGCTTTGAGCACTTTTTAAGATGTGGCAAAGGTGGCGAGTTCTGGGTCAACAAAAACAGTTGGTTGTCTCTGTTACTTTCCTTCAGAGGAGCAGAGTAGGCCTTGTGCTTTTTTAAGGGTCTTTGAAGAAGTGGTGCCTGCAATACAACAATTTGTTAGCCATATCTACAACACTATAAA